ATATATTCTTTATCATCTATCTAGAACTAAGTATCTATTTAATTTTACTATACTGTATTAATAATACATTTTAGCGTTTAAATTCATTTGTAAATTAGTGAAATCAAGACACTGCTAAACCAGTTAAACAATTCTCTACACAGTAACTCCTTAGATGACTAAATCATCTTTTGAGATGGATCAACACATTATACTCAGCAAATATACCAGGTACTTTACTAATTTCTATGTTTTTGACCAAGTATGTTTATTTGCAGTAAAAATACAAGTTAGATCTACATTTTCACAATTTATATCAATTCAGAATAACAGGGAGTTAATGCTGTGTAGCAAAGTACATATACATATTACTTTCTTGCCTTCACTGTTTTTCATTATGATTCCCGAAAAATATCAGCAAACTTAATGACAGTTACCAACTGGTGAAAAAGGTTATAATATCTATTTTCTTCCAACTTCTATTAAATTACTAACTCTAAAGTTCCAAAAAGTATTCTTTCAATTATATCAAAAAAAAAAAAAAAAACCTCTAGAAAATTAAATGCCATATTAAAAAAATTATCCCAAATTTCGATAGAACCACATACATATGTAGTTCCATCAGAGTGGTCATGAATGTTAACGTACACGAATAAGATCTTCAGAAACAAAAGTAATTCTTAGTTTAAATATATTTAAAACATATGAAATAAATGGCTGAATTTTAGAATCCTATAAGATCATATCCACATGAGTATTTTAAAAGTTGAAAATATTTCTAAGCTCTATTAAATTGTATCTTTAAAGAAAATCATTTAATTCTTTGAAATACCTTCAAATTTTTTAAAAGTTCCTGCAGTGCTCACATATATTATCACAAACCACAAGAATCCAGTGGTTAAACATCTGGTTTTTTATGAGAAATGAGTATCTCAAGACACTCAAGAACTTTGATTTCTAATAGGAGGAACTAAGAGGAAAAACGCACACTAATGATTTTTTCCCACAGTATGTCTAAGGAGTCCAATATGAATCCATTTTCAGGCATGCAAAATAGAACTCATCAATGTACCAGGGACTCTCCTGTCAGTGACTTGGCAAGAATGCTGGACACAAGTTGGAGCTTTCCTTTCAGCTGCATGCAGCAAAGCACTGCCCGAAAGGCACCGTCTCCCTTGGCCAATCCTTCTCCCAACACTGTCAGGAAAGAACAGCCATCATTAACCATGAGATATTCAACATACATTTTTTTTTATTATAATATTAACACATTATCACAAGCAGGCTTCTTATATGCTAAAAGAATACAAGTCCTGGAGGAAAGCAATGGTGTTTTAGTTCTGTCCAAGACAGGCACAGGCCAAAAAAAAACATGGGGCAATCACCACAGCTAACCCACTGCAGCCAGGGAGGATCACACCAAAACCACAGGGAGAAGAATTCATCTGAAAGCTCCCGTTAAGCTATGATTTCTGTGTAAATAAGGGCTTATAAACTGCAGACACACTAACTGAATAAAGTTCTCACATTTCTGACAGTGACACATGAGACCCTGTGCCATTAAGATGTATAAGAATAAACTGCAAATCTCATCATTAGATATTCCTAAACAATTAAGAATTGGCCTTTATGAAAACCTGTACAATTAAGAATCCGCTTGTTTAATGGTCATAGAAAATGCTAACCAAATTGTTTGCAAGTATTTGCAGATTTAATTTAATACAATCACAGGGAGCACGTTTCTAGCAATGCAGAATATACTAACGTTTATGTCATGTCATTTGAGATGATTTCTCTCAGCTACTGCTGATGATTCAAATAGCAGAGCAATCTATCCATCTCTTTACTGCTAAGTCCAAGATTCTATTATTAGTTTATACACACTTTAACTTCCTTTGCAAGAAAACAATTTGCTGAAAGAAAACATTTTGGAAATTGCATTTTTTTCTAATTATTTCCAAAGATATGTTTCTTTTAAGCATCAGTATAACATATTGCATACTTAAAGTCTACTGGGTCTCTTTATATTATTTTGGTTGTAATGAGTATATCCTCTCATCATATTGTGCAATTTTTTTATCACACAAATAACATTATAGCAACATTAATAAAATCCTACATAAAAGTAAAGTTCACCATAAGCTCACCATTCATCTAAACTGTTTTCACTTACTCATGTTCTCTTCCAATTTTTATCAATTCTTAATATCTTAGTTAGCTAGTGCTGCTATAACAGAAATACCACGAGTAGATGGCTTTAACAAAGAGAAATTTATTTCCCGACAGTAAAGTAGGCTAGAAGTCCAAATTCAGGGCGTCAACTCCCAGGGAAGGCTTTCTCTCTTAGTCGGCTCTGCAGGAATGTCCTTCTCGTCAATCTCCCCCTGAACTAGGAGCTTCTCTGCACAGGAACCCCGGGTCCAACTCTGCTCCCAGCACAGCCTTTCTTGGTGGTATGAGGTCCCCATGTCTCTCTGCTCCCCTCTTTTATATCCCAAAAGAATTGGCTCAAGACGCAATCTAACCCCATAGACTGAGTTCTGCCTCCTCAACACAACTGTCACCTATGTTCCCTCATTAACATCACAGAGGCAGGATTTACAACACACAGGAAAATCACATCAGATGACAAAATGGTGGACAATCACACAATACTGGGAATCACAGCCAAGCCAAACTGATCCACATATTTTTGGGGGACACAATTCAATCCATGACACTTAATTTTTACATGATTATAACTGATATAAAAATAAGTTTGTATTCGGCCTTCCTTCACTCAGCACATTCAATATTTTCCATGTTATTAGAGTATTTGTATTTATCATGTTATTGGCTATACAATGTTTCATCAATTGGATACATCAATTTATTTAACCATTCCTTGCTCCAGACTAATTCTAATTTTTAACTATTAAAAATAACACTACAATAAACATCTTCATTTGTTGTTGTTGTTGTTAAGCGCGTCGAGTTGGTTCCGACTCATAGCAACCCTATGCACAACAGAACAAAACACTGCCCGATCCTGTGCCGTCCTCATAATCGTTGGCTGTGTTTGGGTCCACTGTTGCAGCCACCGTGTCAATCCATCTCATCGAGGGTCTTCTTTTTTTTTGCTGACTCTCTATCTTACCAAGCATGATGTCCTTCTCCAGCAGCTGGTCCCTCCTGATAACATGTCCAAAGTACGTGAGACAAAGTCTCACCATCCTCACTTCCAAAGAGCACTCTGGCTGTACTTCTTTCAAGACAGATTTGTTTGTTCATCTGGCAATCCACAGTATATTCCATATTCTTCGCCAACACCACAACTCAAAGGCATCAATCCTTCTTTTTTTATATACCCTTTATTGAATCAGATTACTAAGTTGAAAGTTGCAGGCTCTCTGCATTTAAGAAGGTTTTATTCGATTACTTTCAATTGGGGCCAACCTCTTGTCTCATTCCCCCCATGTTACAGATCACTTATCTATTCAATTGTCACTGAATAATTCTAGTAAGTGAATAACTCCAATAAAGTAGCATTAAGAATATCTTGAGCATCTTATAAAATTCCACAGTAAGCCCACATCAAACTATTCAAGTATGACCTTGGTAAGTCACTTTATCTCTCTGGCCCTCAGTTTGGTCATGTGTGAAATAGAAACATGTATAAATTTGTTGTAAGGATCAAGTAAGATAACACAAGTGAAATACTCTGAAGAAAAACAACAGTTCTTACTAAGGTCTAGATCACTTGCATTTGCTAAGCCTCTCTCCTCTCCTGGAAAATGGAGGTGACAGTAGCTACCTTATAAGGTTATGGTAAATATTGATTGTGTTAATTATATAAAGTATCTAGCACAGTCTTCTGCATAAGTAAGAGTTCCCTAGATGTTATCTTCCTTGTCTAAAAATTATAAAGAAGTGCTGAGAACTGCTAAGGAACTATCCTAGTTCCTCTTCAGTAATTGGGATATTAAGAAAATAGCTGTCACAAGCTGAAAATGTTCAGGGGAATGAAAAAAGTCTAAGAATAAATCAACCTAAGATGATTATGGCAAGCTTAAAGAGTATTAAATCACAAGAATATTTTACAAACACCTTTCACAGATCTTTGGTTTTGTATAAGGTATTTGCTGAATTTTATTTTGCAGAGGTTTTTCCATTTCATTGGTGTTTGAATGTCTCAATATTTGTCAAAATTATGTTTCCCTTTTCTCTCTTTCTTTTAGACAAGAAGGAGTACTGATGTACTTTCTTCCAAATGTTGCCTTTAAATGTAATTCAGTTTATGTCTTGGAGGATCCCACATGAAGAACTATGGCAAAAAAAAAAAACAGTCAACAATTATAGATGAAAAGCTCTCCTGCTATTGTACCATACAACAAAATTAAATTACACTGCTGCCAATCTGGTCCCTTACTCTCTTTAGTCTTTAGAAAAAGCATGAAAGAAAACAAAGCATGGTCTAGTGTATTATTAAACTTGTCTTAGGTGTAATAATTGACTTGCCAAAAAAGATGACATTAAAAATATAATCTAATCTTGAGCAATTATAAAAAAGTTACAGTTCCTTGCAGATAAATTCTCTTCCCACCAAGTATCTGTGAGATTCTACTGTGAGCATACAACTTTTTCCAAACTGAATTGCTGCTTTCTATCCACTAGGAGTTACAAAGGAGGAAGTCTATAAACTTCAGCTGTGTTGTAGCATTCAATCAAGTCTTTATTCCGTTTCATTCTTTAATTCTTGAATATTTTCTAACACTCAAAACATAAGTGTCTTACTTGGAGCATTTTGAACCAGAAACTGAGTATTATTAAAGGAGTATTCATTCAACTCTCTCAACAAAAATAGCGTGTTAGGGTTTGATGGCCTGAAGCTATCAAAATAAGAGAGGATTAATAATTGAAATGTAATTCTCCTTGCTTGCAACAAGGTAACCTTAAAACAAGCTTAAAGAATAGTCAATGTTGAGTACTGTTCTATTATTTCTTCAGTAACACGACTATACCAGGTATTTCTTTACCAGATTCTTAGCTATTTCTAAAGTCTTTTATTGAAGCTTAGCCTACGGCAAATCAAGATACTTTTCAAAAAATATTACAAAAGAATTTTTTTAATTACCATAAAAACAAAATCCTTTAGTCACTAATAATGGGAGATCATTCACCTGAGAGTGTGATTACATTCATTGTTTTCTTACATTTCAATTATCATTTTATTAGTTACAGAAGAATCTCCGCTAGCATTTACGTAGTGCAAAAAAGCTGTTGTTTTTGGGTGCCATCAAGTTGATTCAGATTCATAGTAACCCCATGTTATTACCCCCAAAATTTGATGTAACAATTATTCTTCATTTGGCAAAAAAACTAACAAGATGAAAATCCCTTCATGTTATAATTCATACTGATTTTACTAGCTTTTTATTAGAGTATTACAATTAAAACATTAGATTATAAACTCATGTGCCATATCATATTTAGGAATTATATTACAAGATGATACAAATACTTCTAAGGTGTGATGTGCCAACAAAGTTTAAATTTTTATCATTAATTATAGGATTTGGATTTCAGATTAGGCAAATATTTCGGATGATTCCATTTAAGCATAAGGGTTGAAAGGGGCAAGGGAGAAAGACATTTATAAATAATTTCATAGAAAAAAAATTTTAAGCCGATGAAAGATAATTAACTTTCTAAATGGAATAAGTTAATGTTATAACCTATTGGCACAGCATACAGAAAACACTTAAATGACAGGGTTATTTTTTAAGCAAACAGCAGCTTTATAAATGGTAATACTTCTTCATACATATATTTAAAGTAACAATGTGTTAAGATTTAACAGTTTTATGTTAAAGAGTTGAAAAATGAATGCAGAGTTCTCAGCTCATTTGCACGTTACAATTTCCACCCCCATCCACCTTTCCCAGGTTATTATCAAACAAGTGCATTATTTGGATATTAATTTCTCAATATTTAAATTATGTGAATTTCTTTCGAGTATTTCTTTTCCAAATATTAGAAGCATATAAAATATGTTCTATGCCAAAAGCTTTAAAAACTTGCAAGCAATGTCACAAAACAATTTGTGTATAAATTTTTGAATGAGAAGCTAATTTGCACTGTAAACTTTTACCTAAAGCACAATTAAAAAGACTAAAAAAAAACAAAACCCTTTAAAACTTTTCAATGTATAACACACT